CAGGGTGGCATAACACAAGTATGTGACCAACGCTTGTGCATCAAACTAAATAAATCTAAAAGCACCTGGCCCCCAACCATAAATACTTTGACAGGTAGCATTGGACCAACCCATGTGCAAACACAATAGGGGGTGGCACAGGGCAAGCACAAAACTAACCCTCATCCAATTTTATGCAATAATATCTTTCAGAACTATTCACAATCCACATGAGAAGTTTGCCAAGTTTCTTTTGCTCTCTCTCTCTCTCTCTCTCTCTCTCTCTCTCTCTCTCTCTCTGACATACATAAAAGTTGCTTAAACTTGTTTTATGTAGTAACTTAGAACATAGAAACTCTGAAATTCTTTTAGCTTCAAGGAAGTTAACAAGTTAAATGTCTTGATCGTTGCCTGACAGTTTTGTCCAAAATGGTCCTGAATGCTGGAAAAAAACTTTTGTGCTGGAGTTTGCTTGATAAACCTAAAGCAGTGTCACGGGATAAAGTTCCGGAGAGCTGAAGACAACAAAACAGCAGATAACTTTACACTGTTAGTGCATAACTCACTAGAATCTGCAAGTTCATTACAGAGAGAGAGAGAGAGAGAGAAACAGACAGACACAGAGCGCATGAGATGTGTTGTGAGAGAGAGAAAAATTTTTTTTTTTTTTTTTTTTTTTTTTTTCTGTGTATGTGTGTGTGTGTGTGCTTGCTTCTGCGTTTGTGAGGGGGCTATGCCACGCAAAAAAAAACGACGGTCTCTACATATCATCTTTGAACTGATTGGCCTGAATGAGAGTTAGTTCTCACTCATCTGATGCATCTGGATTCGGCCTTGGGTGTGTATTTCAAGAGTTCACCAGTGGGTGGACCAACTGAGATTGAGTCCTCTTGCATGATTAGATTGGTCGTCTCTAAGCAAATCCTCTCGGATGATTAGATTACATCTGGATTTGGCCTTGGGTCTGTATTTCAATAGTTCACCAGTAGGTGGACCAACTGAGAGCGAGTCGTCTCGGACTCTCATATGATTAGATTGGTTTTCTATGAGCAAGTCCTCTCGGATGATTAAATTGGTTTTCTCTGATTCGTCCTTCATAATCCTTTCCTAGTCCGGATTCTCCGTTGTGTTCACGTATGCTTTTGTCCGTAGTTGTTGTCATGTCTTTACTCTTGATTGTCATCTTTATCAGGGTGCATGCATGTATTTGTAATCCTTGTCCTGTTTCCCATTGATTCACATGTTAGTGGTTTTGATTTTTTGTCATGTTCCCGCAAGTGCATGTGATTTCTGTCCTTGTCTGTGTACGCATGCCTTTTGATGATTTGTGCCCATGATTGTGTTTATGGACGTTTGTTACCTTCGTTGTTATTCATATGCAAGCATGCACTCGGGATGTTTGTCTTCATTCTCATTCATGCAGGCGTTCATGATATTTATTGTTCTTGTTCATGTATTTTTTGTGCCCTCTGTCTTCGTTCATGTATTTTTTGTACCCTCTGTCTTCATTCATGACCAAGACTGTGTTTGTAATTTTGATCCTTGTCCATGATCATGTACGTGTTCCAGATGTTTGTCCTTATTCGAGAAGAGAGAGAGAGAGAGAGAGAGAGAGAGAGAGAAGTTTACTCACTGGTATAGCCTGCGCCTATATCCGTCTTCTCCACCACCTGTCAAGGTTTCTCTGTGTCCCCAAATGCACTTTAAGAAAGCTCATGCAGCTTGGCAATGACACCTTCACGCCATGATGGGATCTCAGAGAATGTCAAGGTCAGGGAGCTAAGTCTCACCAGAAGAGCTTCGATACTACTTTGAAGTAATTTTTAACATGGGCAGACTGCGGCTGTGAGATGTCGAGATCGGATGGCAGGAAACGGTGCGTACTCGAAACCAAGCCAAAACCGAGTCAAAGTACGGCGGCCAGCGGGCTAAAATGTAGGAAGCTCAAGTATAGGAACAGAGCAACTTCACCACTAGTGGTCTCCAAGGACATACTTCAGCAGTAGCGTGATTAGATAAAAGAAGCTGCAACATACCAGTCATAGCAGAATTCACCTAGCAAGTCGAGACCAAGTCAAAACCGCAACGCTCATGGGAAGTGCTAGACCCCTTCTTCAAAAAAGGTTGAAGGCACGAGGGACAAGCGAAGCAAACGAGTTCCCACCAAAAAAAAAAAAAAAAAAAAAAAAAAAAAAAAAACCAAAAACAACCAACTACGTTATGCAGAAAAATAAACTGGACAACTTTTGCCTCAGCGTCACATCGAAATTCTTTACCAAATTTAAAATGAAAAATAAATCAAAAAATATTTTTTTTAATTTTTAATTGTTTTTTGGCCCGGCCGGGCAAGTGGTCCCGGGCCACTTCGGTAGTCTAGGTGCATGGTGAATAATTGCTTGAATTTTTCAAAATCAGAGTAGAAGTTTCCCTATATCTGTGCCAGTGTGTTTATATTCTCTCTCTCTCTCTCTCTCTCTCTCTCTCTCTCTCTCTCTCTCTCTCTCTCTCTCTCATCCTTCTAGGGGTCTCCGTCTAGGGGAAGGTCCATAGGACCTAGTGTGGTCACTCTAAGCTCGAGTACTTGGAACTCCGGAGAGTTGTCCTGCGCCTAATACCCTGCCTCTACAACAACCTGGGTGTTTCGAGATAAAAAGAACATTAAAAATAATAATAATATTTAATATATTTAATTTTTTTACAGAAAGGGACCAAACAAGAGACAAGGAAAAACTACTTACCTCTGGGTGTTGTAGGTCCCTCTCTGTTATTGCTTCGGGCTAGAAGACGAAACTAGCCGCTATGAACTGACTTGCTTTGTCTCTCTATGTGAAGTTCAACTTTGCCTCGTAGAGATGGTATGTCGCAACCAGCAACAGCAAAACAATTGGCATTTCGAGGCAACATTTCAACAGGGAAGATTGCCTAAGGCTGGTCAGTGCACTATAACAGCTCAAAGTCGCTCCCCTCTTTTTTCCGAGAGAAGAGGAGATAACAAAGAAGGTTACTTTTTTCAAAAGATCAAGAGCTTGAAAGTCGGCGTCCCTTAAAGACTTAGGTCGAATAAAACATAGATTCTGGGAGCCTTACACAGTTTAGCTTTATGAGGAACCAAGACCATCATGTGAACAAGGCCGTGATCAGACAACAAAGCGCACTACTGAATGCCAACAGAGCATTCTACCACCTACCGAGCTAACCAATGTGCACTGAATAGATCATGACTAGTGATGAGGCAGCAGTTGCAAAATGTGTTCACATGAAGAACTATGTTTTCATATCCATAAGTGAAATTGACAAGGGTCATTCCCAAGTTAGCTTTCTGCAAGCTCTGGGCAGTGGGCGCCAGTCTAGGCTGGCTTGGCCTGGGATCTATATCGTTTGTTGCTCTATCTTCTTCCCCGAGAACCAACACTAGTCATTTTAGCAGTGTATTTAATACCAAATCTCACCACAGATACATATCTAATTACTAGGCACTGTGTTCAGGTAAAGTCGTCCCTCTGATTCCCTCGCTAGTAAGTCTATGAGGTACGAGTCACAAGAAAGAGTGATGGGATAAGTTGTGACACGAGAAACAAAAGTTTCAAAAAAAGACCTCTGAAATTACCCTGCGACCTTCCCTAAAACACAACAACGTACCCTCATTATTAATGAAAACAAGCTACCATTCGACCCGATGCGGTTATGATGCGGGTGTCGCGTTCGCTATGAGGTAGAGGGCCTCTAGTCTAGCCTGACCCTCTTCCCTGAACACAACGGAACAGAACGCAGTCTCATTGTCAATGCATAAAAATTCTCTTCCCGACAGGATACAGTTCATGATGAGATTCGATTTTTCGGGCAAGACGGGTAGACCCTGGGGCTAACTAATTAAGTTGACTAATTCAATAATTCGTTATATTAATTGATTCATGACAATCCATTCCTATTGTCACAGTGTCGTCCTGCATCTATCGTCACTATATGATGCTATGGTCCAACCCACATCCAGATTGCCCTCTTGTAACCCAACCGTCTTTCCTGAAACAGAATGGCTACCCTGGCATTTGGGGCAACTTTCAGTCTAGATACAGCGATAATGACCATACTACGAACCCACTGGCTTGTGGAACCACATTAAAAGAACCCTCCCCTCGAACGTGGCACACCAACCATCCTGAAAAACACTTTCGAGAATCGTAGGCACCAAAGTTAGCAATCCCTGTACTAAGCAAGAATAAGTAACGTTAGTCACACACGCATAGCCCAAACATAATGGTGAATAATTACTCAGAGAACATCAATTCTTGTCACTTAGTAATCCGAAAAGCCAAATTCGACATCAGCCTAAAGGTCTGTAATCAACACAGATTCAAACTCAAGCATCACTATACCAAGATCACACGTAGACCAAAAGACGACCATACACGAACCATACAAAGGACAAAAGATGGGAAGAGACACACACAGTTGAAAGCGGCAACCAGGAGTTAGTAGCGGGAGCTACGACAAGAAATGAGCGAGAAAATATTCACAATTTSAAATTTGATAATTGCAATTTACAGGGTTGTTAAACCCAGTAGAAGGAAAAGCTAGGTTACTCAAAGTAGACTTTGTCAAAGTAGACTTTGACAATTCATGTTTCTTAGGAGCTCAATATTATAAAGTGCGTGAAACTCCAAAGCCCTGCTCATGAGACTTAGCTCCCCAAAGCTGACATTCTCTGAAATCCATTCATCGCAGGAAGATTTCATTGTCTACCTGAATGAGCTTTTCAGACAAATAATTTTGAGGCTGCAAACCTAGGCTACCAGCCGGGCGGCCCGGGTCCCAGGTGGCCAGCCCGTGCAAGCACCAAGGGCGATTTCAGGCTCGGTGACGATAGCTCAGAAAGATACTGCTGGTTAATTAAAAAAAAAACAGAAAACGAATACCAGCAGGTGATTACACAACCGCATGTCTATCTGCGATGGATCTGCCCTGCCCTTGGGGGCAGATTCATGGCAAGCATAATAGAAATGGAACACAGAAAAAAGACAACACGATCTCCTGCTTTACTAAGCTTCCTTCTTTCACCCTCCCTGTCAGCTTTTTTCCAGACCTTGTTTCCTTTTGATATGTAATGACAATAGACGGTTGGGGATCTCTCACATAGGGATGCAGCAGCTGGTCCAAGTGGCGTGGTTCGACTTAGAGAACTGCCTCCTCGGGATTGACCAGTCCTTCTTAGACAAGGTCCGTACCGATTCTGATGGCACCAGTTTGTGTCCTCTTGCCAGTTCTGCACTGCAACGTGAACAGCTTGCCTTCCTGGACTGTAAACTCAAATGTCCTGTCCAAAAACCAGGGCTATTCTTGGATCCTGTAGAATTACCCACGAGACAGTAATAAACCAGTGTCAGCCAATATAACACTAATCTCTCCCTCTCTCTCTCTCTCTCTCTCTCTCTCTCTCTCTCTCTCTCTCTCTCTCTCTCTCTCTCTCTCTC